TTACCTATGCAGAGAAGCTTAGGTCTCAACTGGCACCTTCAAACCGACAGCTTTACCTTTCTTGTCTCCCAGGAGGAGAAGCCCTTTACCCGTAGAGGTATTCTCTCCACAGTTAACAGCATATTCGACCCGTTGGGGTTTGCAGGTCCTATAGTAGTCCAGGGCAAGGCTATAGTCAGAGAGTTATGCACTGAGCATTGCGATTGGGACACCCCGATACCTGCTGAAAAAGTGGCACAGTGGAAGTCTTGGAGAGACTCACTGAAGGCACTCGAGCAACTTCACATACCAAGGCCATACCTACCTGTTTCCCTGCTTTCCACACGGCACAGGGAGTTATGTGTCTTTTGCGACGCGTCCACCATGGCCATCTCTGCAGTTGCCTACCTCAGGGCAGTTGATGATGAAGGACACTGTCTTGTAGGATTCTGCATGGGGAAGTCTAAGTTAGCACCCCGGCATTCCCATACTGTGCCCCGTCTAGAGCTTTGTGCGGCTGTACTAGCAGTTGAGCTGGCCGATATCTTGAGGGATGAGCTAGATGTGGAAATCCACACAGTGAAGTTTTACACCGACTCCAGAGTTGTGCTGGGTTACATCTGCAACGCCAACCGGAGGTTTTATGTGTATGTTGCTAACAGAGTAGCACGCATCCGGAAGTCTTCGCAGCCTGAACAGTGGCACTTTGTCAGTTCAGAACACAATCCTGCTGACCATGGTACCAGACCAGTTCCAGCTGCACTGTTGAGAGATACAAACTGGTTTTCTGGGCCATCATTTCTTGAAAACGACGAGCGAGTTGCACTTACCCCACCAGAGTACTTTGAGCTCGTTGAACCAGACGGGGATGCAGATGTGCGTCCACTAATAGCAACCTTTGCTACAGGAGCTTCTGAAAGACAGCTTGGTTCACACAGGTTCGAGCGCTTTTCCAGCTGGAAGACACTTGTATGTGGCATAACAAAGCTCATCCAGAAAGTCAGATCCTGTGCTAAGATCCTGGAGGGAGATTTGACAAAGGTAGATGAGCGTATACAGGCAAGAACAGTAATTGTACAGACTGTACAGCATGAGGCCTTCAAAGAAGAACTCAAGAGCCTGTTCAAAGGAGAGCTTGTCTCAAAACGCAGTCCTCTCAGGAAACTTGACCCTTTCTTGGATTCAGATGGTGTACTGAGAGTTGGTGGCCGCACGTCATTATCCGCAATCTCATGGGAAGAGAAACATCCCATAATCATTCCCAAAAGCAACCACATTGCTACCTTGTTGGTGCGGCATTATCATGAGCAAGTAGTACACCAAGGTAGACACTTCACGGAAGGGGCCATCAGATCCGCTGGACTGTGGATTCTGGGAGGAAAAAGACTTGTATCAAGTATCATACACAAGTGTGTCATCTGTAGGCGGTTGAGAGGAAGTCTGGAAAAACAAAAAATGTCCAACTTACCTGCTGATTGGTTGACCCAATCTCCTCCTTTCACCCAAGTTGGATTAGATGTTTTTGGACCATGGACGGTTTGTGCCCGTCGCACGAGGGGAGGCCTTGCAGAGAGTAAGCGCTGGGCTGTTATGTTTACTTGTTTAGTAACAAGGGCAGTTCACCTGGAGGTGATAGAATCTCTGTCTACGTCAAGCTTCATAAATGCGCTTAGGCGAGTCACTGCCATCAGAGGTCCAGCAAAGCTCTTTCGTTCAGACCGAGGCACAAACTTTGTCGGTGCATGTAAAGAACTTGGTATAACCCCAGAAGATGTAACACTTCATTCTTACCTCAGAGACCAAGGCTGCACGTGGGACTTCAATCTTCCACACTCCTCCCACATGGGGGGAGCATGGGAAAGAATGATAGGGATGGCTCGCCGCATTTTGGATGGCATCTTACTCAAGATGCATTCCCCTAGTCTTTCACACGAAGTGCTCACCACGCTGATGGCAGAGGTCGCAGCCATCATGAATGCTCGGCCAATTGTCCCTGTGTCGTCAGATCCAGACATGCCGACCATACTCACCCCTGCTATGCTTTTAACACAAAAGGTGGACTCCGTGTCTGCTCACTTGGAAGACATCGACCTCAAGGATCTTTACCGAAGTCAGTGGAAGCAAGTTCAAAGTCTTGCGGATTCATTCTGGAAAAGATGGCGTCAAGAGTACCTGACGACACTCCAGCCAAGAAGGAAATGGCAAGCAGAACAAGCCAGCCTGCAAGTTGGAGATGTTGTGCTCCTAAAGGACAAGGAGGCTAAACGAAATCAATGGCCCACAGGACTTGTGGTAAATACCTTTCCGGGTCAAGACAGCAGGGTCCGGAAAGTGGAGGTGAGAGTTGTTCAAGGAGGCACCCCCAGGGTGTATTCGAGACCCGCCAC